GAACTCAGAGCTGGTGTCAGGACTAAATGAAAACTGTTCTGTTATTCTTTCTCACTGCAAGCCTGAAAAAAAGATCTAATTTATGTATTGAAATGAAGATAAAAGTGCTTTGAAGAGAGGCTGAAAGATCCTCTGTTCATCACAAAGCCTTTTAAAACATTTTTTTCTTCTTGAGGAACCACTGAGACATCTGAACAGCTTCAAAACTGCAGCAGAATTGTCTGGGTTGCATCCCTTCAACTGCCATTTAAAGTAACCAAGTCTGAAAAGTGTTTAGGTTATTTCAGAGTCAGAATTTTCTTTAAAAAAAGATAAATAGCTGTAAGTAGGATGCAATTTCACTATGAACTGAATAGAGGTGTGTGACAGAGAAATAGGGAAATACGTAAGTCAGTTACTGCTGACTTTTAAGCGGAGTCATGCTTACAGAACTGATCTACCTGCCCAATACTCACCCTCCAAACAAGTGTTGCCAAATTGGAAAGAATTCCAAAATGAGCTACATGGGTGACATGAGCTCTGGGAAAGTAATACAGCATGCAGTTCCCAAGGCTCAGACTATTTTTTTATCCAGGAGAGCACGACATAACAGTATTGTCATGTCTCCTCTCGAAATCTACATAAGCAAGACAATCACAACCTCTGAATCTGTGCAACTTTTCATTCTGAAAAAAAAGGGAATATGTAGGAAAATGCATAAGATGCTGAGCTTCGTTTAACTACCCACAAAGATTCATTTAACTACTCACAAACAGAAACTTTTGGAAAGTGCTTATAAAACAAAAAGAAAATACTTCTTCAGCTAAATTGGCATTCTCAAATTAATTCCCACGCCTGCAGCACAACATTTACCTCAGGTCTCTTGTACTTCACCATCACCCTTTTCTCTCTCATTTACACCTTACTGTTCAAGACATGATTTTTCTCTTAACTGCTGACAAAGGATTTCCTTTACTGCCATTTCCCTTCATCAGCCTCTCAAGAAAATCAGAATTGCTGCCACAGTCCTCGTGCTGACACTTACTTACTCTATGTAAGACTTTAAGACAGAGAGGGTCACTCACTCTCCTGAGTGGCAGCTGAGCCCACTGCTGATTTGATTCATTACCCACAGCAACGATGCAAGGACACTCTCAGAGCTGCACAGCTCGATGGTACAGAACAAACTTTTGAAATCAGAGTGGCTTCCCAAACTGGCTACTAAAACCTGCCTCCAGCAAGCTCCACTCTCTGCCACCTCTCCTATAAGCAAGCCACAAGCATATGAAACCTTCCCAGGTATGAAAATGTTTTATGGCTTAACTTGTAATTAGATAGGAAAGAAAGTTTTAAAAGCCTCCCCCCAATCCCTGAAACATTCTTCCTCTTCAGAGTGATTTACAGCAGTCATGAAGAGCAGAAGATGGGTGAAGGGCTGTGAGTCTGCCCCAGGGCAGGGGAAGGTGCCAGAGAGGGATGGGCAGGCTCCCAGGGGGCAAGGAGCACGGCACAAGCCTCTTTCAAAGGAAAAATGATTGTGCCAAAAGGTAGCTCAGAGCCAACACCTCCAAACTTTTCACACATTTCCTTTTCATAATTAAAGACTAGGGTGACTTTGAGGACAGATCCTGAAAAATAAACTCCCTTTTGGTTTTCAGTAAGTTGAATTACATCAATTTGTACAAAATGAGAAGCACCAGTTTGCTGAGTCTCTTGAGGGAACGCGTTGTTTCCAGGGGAAAATGCAGCAGAAACATGTTTATTGGTGCCAAAGAGCAGCGCCAAAAAGGAGCTGGAAACACTGTTGCTGTCAGAAGTGGCTGTGTTTTGAAAAGAACCCAGAACTCACTATGTAGTTACCATGGGAGTCTTTCTGAAACTCTGGCCCACTGCAGGTAGCAAAACAGAGGTGGAGTGTCTCAAGCGATATCCAGACCACCTAAACTGTAAATGTGGCACCCACAGGCAGAACTGAGGTGTCTAAATATCCAGTGTGACTGAGATTGACTATTCTTGGATGCTATCTCTTAAAAACTCTGAAAATCAGTAATCCCTTCACTTAGGGCAGCAGTATTTTCAAGGCACCCACACACAGGCTTTGGAGCGACAAGTAATTTGGTGCATAAAGCTGGAACCCAACTTCACACCAAAAAGACTTCCCATAATTCAAGGATATGCAAGGAGACAAACTCCATCCAACCTTTGGAGAGGTCCTCTCTAGAAAACATGTTCTCACCTTACTCGCTTGGGATGCACTGAACTCAACATAGGGCGCACTAGTTAAGGTAGCTCTCTTCTAAAACACTGAGGGAAGAGGCAGTGTAGGAGGACAAATGCCTAGTTAAATGACTGCAAAGCATTAAAACTGGCATAAGTGATACTTGGTACCAATTACTCTGGTTCCCTTGAGTGCAGGGTGAGAGATAAGAAGAAACACAGAGGAAAGCAGCGTTTTGAAATAGGAAAGTAACATATAATAAAGTGGCAGTGTGAATCCTGCAGTGAGAGTCTTTCAGAAAACATACTGAAAACTATTCCCTAGTAAATGTCTTAATAACTATTATTGTTATCATAATATAGCTGCAGTGAAATTCAGCATAAGATATGGGCATTTTGTAAAATTCCTCACCCTTCTGATTTAAACTGCACTATTCAACTCCACAGTGCAGAATCTTCTGAATGGCCATGTCACGATTTAGTACAACAGCACAGACAAAGCTTATAAATAATTAAGGAAAATATTCGCTTGGCTGGGGAATACCACTTAGAATCATAGAATCATAGAATGGTTAGGGTTGGAAGGGACCTCAAAGATCATCTAGTTTCAACCCCCCTGCCATGGGCAGGGAAATCCTCCACTACACCAGGTTGCTCAAAGCCTCATCCAACCTGGCCTTGAACACCTCCAGGGATGGGGCATCCACAACTTCTCTGGGCAACCTGTTCCAGTACCTCACCACCCTCAATGTAAAGAATTTCTTTCTTATATCTAACCTAAATCTGCCCTCTTTCAGTTTAAATCCATTGCCCCTTGTCCTATCACTACACACCCTTGTAAAAAGTCCCTCTCCAGCTTTCCTGTAAGGCCCCACTTAGCCCCTGTTTGCAAGGCGTAAGTGAGCTTTCCAGAGTACACAGGACTTGAGCTGCTTCTCTTAATTATAATTAATAAATAATCCTCTCCCATCGCACACATATACACACATCCCATTCCAAATTAATGTTCTTACCTTATCTTTATTTTCAGAGCCAGAATCCTCAAGCTTGGTCCGAATGACAAAGGGAGTAGATAATCTCAGGAGAACTCGTTCGAATGTGGCACTGATTTTAGGAGAAACTATGTCGAAGCAGTCTTGGAATTTCAGGGTTTTATGAGTATCACATCTGAGCTGCTTCCTAAGACCTTCTCCAAGCTGAAGAACCAGCATGTTTGGATCAAACATCAGATGAAAGGGGAAAGCTCTGCAGAAGGTGCTGATGCTAATCCTCAGGTCTAACGGGGACTGGGAAGTTCCCGATGGAAGTGCTTTTGCGATATTTGCATTTTCATGTTCTTTGATAAGGAAAGTCAGACAGCTGCAGTTGCCTGGGTTCGTCCCCTCTGAACACAACTTATCATTAGTGACCTGTTCTACTTCCACTTCCAAGCGGTAAATCTTCTTTGCTGCTGCCTTTATCATTCCTACCATTGCAAATCCCACAATCTGATGTGGGTGAAAGTAATGAAGCATGAGATTGCCTCCAGGGAGCTCTTTGCATAGGAAAGAAGGGGATTCCAGGGTGGCCTGTCTTCCAAATGAAGTTCTAATGTGCTCCAGCAAAGCATCAAAGCCATTGAAGAAGTCTTGAAGGGTCCCACCTACAGCTCGAAGAACTCTTTCGTTCTCATCAAAGCAGATATTGAAGAATTCCTCCCCAAACTTTTCTTGCATTTCCTCAAACTTCAAACCTAAAGGACAATGAGATACTGATATCAGTAACATAGTATTGCTACTGTGTCACATTTTCCCTTTGTTCCCTATTTGCCCAGTATTTTTCCAAGTCAGTGAGAGTGGCTTTTTCACCGGATACCTACTCATAGGGCTTCCGTTTTCTCTGGAGGTTGGGCATAACACTACAAGCCATTTTTGCCTGTCATTTTAAGTCCTCGTGATTTCAGCTCGCTGTCCCAGCCAGCTACTTGTGGGATTTACACTTGCCTGTCTCCTTTTCCCTGCTGAAAGCCAGAATACACTGTAACTTCCTCGACTTTTGCACGCCACATGCCATCTGCCCTATGAATGCACCCAGCCACGGGTGCATCCCTTTCATTGTTGACCCCGCCACAAACAAGGCTTCTGCTTTTATAGCCCCTCTGTGAGGGATCCAGCTCTTACCAGCTTGAAGAATAAGCTACTGGGACTCAAAGTCAGGCCTATAGCTTTCAATACGCAGTCAGATGACACTTTAGTAACTGGGGGAGGAGGGTTGGGGGGTTTAGGGTTTTTTTCAGACAAAATACCTTTCTCATTACAACTATTGGGCTGTGCCAGCAGATACAAAGGAATAATTACTTCTTTTTTTGTTGCTTGCGAAGCAAAGCAAAGCCTTTCTATTTTAGCCACCACCCATCCTTAAAAAAAGCCCTGCCTCACAGAGCAATCTAAACTGCTAGTAGAGAGGACAGCTCTGTGATATCTCATAATGTAACTTCGAGTCTTCCTCACAGAAATTCAAAAGGTTTTGATTTACAGAGGTGATAAGGCTGGCATTGCTGAAGGGATGAAAAAATATTAGTGATGGAAGCCCCTGGATTCAAATGTGTATCAATCCTACTCCAGTTTATTATTTACCATTTTAAGGAGAACCTAGAAAAAATAATTTTGAGATGGTTATTAAGCATTTTCCTCTGTCTTATTTTAAGGAAGACATACTCTGTTAAGTTTCATCCCTATACCACACAGTAGAGTTACAAAATTAATCACATATGTTTGTATTGCTTCTAATAGAAGAAAAGGAAGTACGAATCAGCTGTATGTGAATTACAAATATCCAGCAAGAGTTTTCAAAGAAAATTAATACAGAAATTAAGAACATAGTTTCTCCATTGTATTGAAATAAAATCTAATCACTTTTTAGTCAACTAGTCAAACACCTTAAAATTTATCTTGAATTTTAATAGAAATGAAGGGCAGTTATTTATTCCCTAAGAGCACAAGAGGTCCTTTATTTTAATATGTATTCAGCATGATTTATAACATCAGTAAGATCCCAGTGGATCATTGTTTGTTTAGATTGCTTGTAGGCTTTTAAATTTTGAAGAACAGTGTGATTAGTGACTTTCATGCCCAAGAGGTATAACATGGGGCAGAAGAGGTCATGCATCTATTGTCTGCAGACAATAACCTTTGATCATCTCACGGCAGCATCTGAATTGTCTATGCACACAGACACAGTTATAACAATCAATATTCACATGGGATCTCAGTGTTCCACAGCTTTGCAAACTATCTACAACGATAGTTTTGTTTGGACCTTTGATATGATTAAAAGCAGATTAAAATGCATAAAATTACATATATAAACAGGACAACATGACAACATGACACAGCATATTTTTTAAAAGAAGTAATAGTAATAATTTGGGAAAGTTCATTCAAATGCCATTACTCATCATCAAATTTGGTCACTAAAGTAGGTTATTACAAAAATATTCCCAGGATCTTTTATGACCACAGATGGTCAGATCTGCAGCTAAGCCAAAAGAAAGTACCTCTGGTACACAATGCCCCCTAATATCCTGACTCAGAGGACAGTGTGCCAACTCCTGACTCATTACCACTATGTCTGCATAACATAATATTGTAACATCTTCTGTAAAAATACCCACTATTACCCAAAAAGAACTAAATTCTAACCCATACCAATAACGTCATCATAACTGGATATTAATAGCAAGGAGCTAAGAAATTATTATTAAGGTGTTTGACTGATTGTTTTAGATTGGTCTGGACCACTCTGGAGGAATGGCTGTTCAATCTGGATGCAATGTACTGACTCTGAGCAACGTGAATTATAATATGAAATCCAGGTCAGTGACCTGGCTCAAGGACGTGTCACTACTTTAAAAAACATTTTTTGCTTTGAATTGAGTCGCACACAGTACCAGCAGAAAACTAGCTTAGCTCAGAACAGAAAAATTGATATGCCCAAGCTCAACCAAACTGCTGGTCTGTCTTAGTCAGGAATTTTCTCTTTAATAATAGACACTATGAGATACTGAGAAAATTAAACAAAGTCAAACAACTTTCTAAAGCAAACAAGTATAATGTACCTATCGAGGAAGTTTCTTCCTAAACCTCACCAAGAAGACGTCAATTTTTGGCTTGAAGCTTGATGGTTTTTCTGCTGTTGCTCAAGTTAAGCCATTTGCTATTTTGAGCTTCTGCTATTTACCAACCTTCTACTAATAAACTGAATGAAATTCTAAAGTTCATCATTCTCAATTTACTTTCCTCTTGGAAAGTGATCTACTGTGTTCCTACCACTTAATCCACTTCTTCAAGAGGACAAATCACATGTTTTAACTCTAATAGTAGTTTCTTTTTGTTGCTTTTTCTTACAATGTCATTTTTATTCTAGCCCATAGTGGAGAGAAAGTAAATATGCACATTGTAGAAGGAAATTGAGGCAAAGTAACCGTAGAATGAAGATATTGCTCTGGGCCTCTATTACAAAGCACTTTGGGATCTACAACAAAAGTACTATATAAGGTCTACTATTATCCTTTGAAAATGTGTCTCAAAGACATTTAGAGAAGAGATCTTATACTTGTGAGCCAGATTCAAAACTACTAAAGTCTTTTTGACTTTAAGGTCAAAGTACAAATTAAGTATTGCACTGCACTGGAGCAGAAATAGATGACTTCATCCTGTAATAACATGCTAGTAAAAGGTCCTTCATTTTCTTTTCAGCAGTTCCTGTAAACTGTGAACTTACTACAAAACATCAAGGAACTAACACAGTATTTCTAAGTATTTTGTACATTACTAAGTGGAGAAATTAGATAGGAATCTGTTCCCATAAAGAAAATTACAAGTCATAGGCTCTTCAGAAACACATAGATGATGCATGATGTTATAAAAATGTCGAAGTAATCCATTAACTTGCAGAGCATGCAGAAGCAGTTACAAGCCCTCCAGTTCTTCCTTAAAGTAAATCACGGAGACAATGGTTGCAGAGTGGCCACTGTCTGATTTCTTTGGCATAGAAAAATGCCTTTTTTCTGGGATATCCATTAAGAATCCATAAAGGTCAAATATTAAGGGGATGGGGCAACTCAATATGCAATTCCAGAACTCATACTGTGGATGAAAGCAGAATTTGCCACCTTCAGTTATAACAAATACCTGTTAAATGTTTTTGGAACAGCAGATTTTTGGCACGAATAAGATCTTTTCCTTAAATAATGTTTTGGATAGAAAGCCAGATGGCAATTCAGAATTCCAAAGCATAATTTAAGATGGTAAGGAAAGCAACATTTATTCTCTCAATGAAAAAGGTTTGGATGTGTACAGGCTAATGCTGAAGGTACATCAGATGAATCATTTGGCTTTTAAGTGAGCCTAGTACAGGACCTAATTACTGTATAAAGGACTTTGATCTTACTTCATTATGATGGTGAATTTGTATCATCCTGGGAATCCAGATAGAGTTTTTACATTACCATTTTTAGTGGGTTTTATATAAATACAAAAACGTCATTTTATGCCTTGACATACGGTTTTGATACAACTGTAAAATTTGTACTACACTTCTCTTACAGTGCCATGTATATCTTCCAAGTGCCTGTATATCTTCCAAGAATTCATAAAATAAAAATGAGAATTATTGTTAAAAATAATTCCTCACACTTGTTCACCTCTAATATCTGTTTTATCTAATTTTAATGAGGCATTTTCTTTCCTTGTGTCCTGGTTTTGACTAGGACAGTTATTTTTTTCTTTTTAGCAGCTAGAAGAGCTCTGTCTTTTGGTTTTAGTCTGGGATTTGCTGTGAGAAGAACACTGATAGCGCACTGATGTTTATAGTTGGCACTGAGACACCAAGGACCTTTCATCTTCCCGTGTTTTGTCAGTGTGCAGGAGCACAACAGGATGGGGGGGAGCATGGCCGGGACAGAGGGTCCACCACTTCCCTTATGATTTGAACTTAGATTTAGGATTGAGGGCTAAATTGGCCAATGGAGTATTCCATATCATGCAATGTCATGCCCAGTATACAGATGAGGGTTGTCCGGAAAGAAGGACCTTTGCTCTTGCGAGGGCTCTCACTCTGGGACTCTCAGAGTGCCATCTCACTCTCCTTTTTTCAGGCCTCTTCACTAGTCTGGGATTGCAGTGTCAGGACTTATCTGTTTTGGGATCACTTGCCAGAACAGGACAGGAGTTGGTCACCAGGTGGTCAGCAATTACACTGTGCATCACTTGTTTGTATATATTATTATCATTATACATATATATTTATATATCATTCTCATTATTGCTTTTAATTTTATATTATTATTATTAAATTGTTTTTATCTCAACCCCCAAGTCTCCTCTTTCTCCCTTTAATTCTCTTCCCCATTCCCTTAGGGTGGGGGAGGGTGAGCGAGCAGCTGTGTGGTGTTTAGTAGCCTGTTGGGCTAAACCACAACACCTTGTTAAATTCAGGGTCTCCTCTGATAAATGATGCTTAGAAATATCATTGTAATTACCACCTCTTGGTGTGGACCTGATCACCTGTGCTCAGCATATGTGTAAAAGATTCTGCTCCAAACTGCTGACACAGGAAGCTCAGATGAGCTATTAAGAACAGGCAATGTTCTTTTTTTTTTCCCCATATAGCACTTTCAGTAGCAGCCAATTCTGTAGGCAAAGCCAAGCTGTCTGATGCAAGACTATCATCATTTTGTTTCCCTCATTACATCTTGGAAACCTCACTTCTTAGATTTGCACAGAGTTTAATAAATGAAAACGGCAATCACTAGGTTGGTGATTCCTAAAAATAGGGCAGATCCAGTTTGTTTCATGTTAACTCTAGAGATCAAACAGCAATAAGAACAGAGTTTTTTAATTTGCTTTTGCATTAAAATAAGCACGTATGTCTTTGAATTGACACAGGAAGCAGAACTTCACTTCTTGGAAAGAATAAAATTTTAATGAAATCTAAAAACTTTTTCCATTATAATGCAAAATCACCTCTCATAATTCCTCACATATATAAAGGGCTCAACTCAGCTGACTAAATACAGAAATGCAATGCTACCTGAGTCTTCACAAGGCATCCAAGCCATCTACAAAAGGACTAACAGATAGTTACATCTACCAGCGTATAAGACTTAGGGGAGACCTACCCATTTTTGAAGGTTTGACAGAGGCCACACAAGATAACCCACAGCACCGAAAATAATGGCAAACACCTATGTTTAGTCAATGAATCATGCCCAGAATGTCGTCTACTTTAGAAACAGACTTCTACAAGATGTTATTGTACATCATAACTTCAAACTGCTCACTATCGGCAGTTCATTCGCTTTCTAACAATAAAGAGCTCTGATTTGAGAAGAGTGGGGCGTCTAAGGCCATTTGGTATAAACATTTGTCCTTTTCTAATTTAGATCTATTCATCTCAGTTTTGAAATCACATTAACTATGTGATTTTTGTTGAGATTACTTTTGTATTGCCAGTGCGTTGTAACATCTGCTAAATAATAGGAGTCCTGTGTGTATAGCTTGGACCCCCTAGGACAGAGTTCCAAGTATTATTAAAATCCATTAGTATTGCCAGTCCTCTGGGCCATGTAACATTTCCTTTTACATCATTTGTAAACCAACAACTTTAATTATAAATCAGGCTGTATATCCTAAATTAGTTGCATCCTAATGACTATCTGCAGTTCTTAGCTCAAAGGAAAAGGAAAGTGATAGTAATTTATGTATTTTAAATACATAAACATTTACAGTTTTCAGACACCTGCCAAGCAGTCAGTGTGCCAAACTCCTGTCCATGTCTTCCAATTACATCACCTGGTCTATTCTCACTACAGGCTAAGACTTGTCCTAGCATCTCCTTTTTAGTGTATTTCTTGCCTCTTCAAAGGTAGTATTTCTCAGCAGTGATGTATTGTTATTGTTTAGTAGTTACCAGAGTGATCCCAAATCTATTCCTCTTTAACTACAGAATATGGGCAAGAGCTGAGATTTTCTTAGTTTCATAGAGGAAGCAGAGATCTTCAACTTTGACAAATGTACAGAGAACAAATAACTTTTAGAGAATTATGCCCTTTGCACTAAATGAAGGAACCACCCTGCAAGTGATTGGCTCTATATAAAGCAGCCTACAGCACAAACCCTCTCTGGTGGTGATGAGCAAATGTCACTCAGAGCAAGAGCTCTCTAACCCCTTACACCAATGATGTATTCCACCTCTTCCTCAGTGTCTTGAGGAGGCTGAATCCAGAAACATGATCTATCTTCCTGACAGGACAGGGCTCTGGGCTGGGATTCCACATAAATTATCACCAGGGAATTCAGGAATCCTCACCACTGTGGCATATCATCCTCCAAATGGAAGATGCCCAGAAAGATACTCACTTAGAAATGACAAAGAAGTAAAGTCCACATATCACTCAGAAGCAAAATCAAGAGGACAAGCATGATTATTACTGACTGGTAAGTTAAGAATGCTTAACAGGAAACATTCTTGCAATACACTTAAGCCCACATGCAGAGTTGACTTAGCAGCCATTGACATACGCCTTGCATTTTTTAAGGAAAATGAGGTTAATTGTAGTAAGATTTCAGAAGCCAAATTTTTATAATAGATTAAAAAGAATTCTGTTTTACAAATTAATTTATTGAACAAAAAAAAATGGAAGAGAATGGTTTTCTGTATCTTAAGCAATGGAAAGTCAGATAGGTGCAACTATTTTTCCAGGCCTCCTTGTTGAAATAGCTATCTATCTGATACAAGTGCATTTGTAACTTCAGGCTGTGCACCCCGGGTGTTGTAAGTG